GAACTGGCGTGACAGTCCAATGACCATGACTCCCAAGTTCAGATGTAATGAACGGGCTTCCTCATCCTGACCTTGGCTCTTCTCCCATGGGGCTGAGGTCTAAAGCCTGCTTTTTCCTCCGATCTGCCTCCAGCCGAGCATCCTGTTCTACTCCCAGAATTCCATATTCTGTCATCAGTGAGCTCAGTTGGGTCAAAAAGACGGAGTCTATAGCCCATGCTGGCCTCAAACTCCATATGATATCAAGAGTGACTTTTTGTTTGTGGTTATTCCATTTTATTATCTTTTTTTAACAGAAGGGCCTCTCAATAGCCTGGCTGTCCTAGAACTCACTATGTAGACCAGGCTGGTCTAGAACTCACAAAGATCGACTGGCCTCTGCCTCTCAAGTGCTGGGATTCCAGGCGTGTACCACCACAGTCAGTTTTTTAGGGTACTGGGGATAGAACTTGGGGCTTTGTGCATGCTAGGTGTACTGGCTGATTTTGTGTGTCAACTTGACACAAGCTGGAGTTATCACAGAGAAAGGGGCCTCCCTTGAGGAAATGCCTCTGTGAGATCCAGCTGTAAGGCATTTTCTCAATTAGAGATTAAGTATGGGCGGGCCCATTGTGGGTGGTGCCATCCCTAGGCTGGTAGTCTTGGGTTCTATAAGAAAGCAAGCTGAGCAAGCCAGGGTAAGCAAGCCAGTAAATAACATCCCTCCATGGCCTCTGCATCAGCTCCTGCTTTCTGACCTGCTTGAGTTCCAGTCCTGACTTCCTTTGGTGATGAACAGCAGTGTGGAAGTGTAAGCCGAATAAACCCTATCCTCCCCAACTAGCTTCTTGGTCCTGATGTTTGTGCAGGAATGGAAACTCTGAGACACTAGGTAAGCACTCACACTAAGCTGCATCCTTGGCCTCTCACTGGGGACTCTCAGGACACTGAGACTCAAGAAAAGTCCAAGCCAAACCACGACCATGAACTCCTCCTGTCCCTCCTCTCACATGACCTGCAGAAGGTCTTAGATGGGTGTGCTGTCCTCAGATCCAACAGGAAGTCCTATGGACATAATCTGAATCTGGCCTCCCCTGAGTAGCTGGTGGACAGTGAGGGTGACAATAATTCCCCAGATAAGGAAGGGACTAAAGTGGCTTCTCTGAGAGCCACAGCTCAATTTTGTAACTTTCTAATTGTCCTCAGTGCTGCCCACTGGGCACCTAGCCAGCTAGGGCCTCCTTCCCAAGCAGGGATCACAGAGTTGGCCACCTGCTTCCCACCCGTGAGCTTCTGAGCCCTTTTGCTAGATCTCTGAAGCAGGGATCATCTCCGACTTCCAGGCTTGCTCTCCTGTCAAAGGGAAGGAGACCTGGGATGGGGAGCTAAGCTATTCCCTGCTACAGACACCGAGCCCAGCAGAATTCCCGGGTCTGCTGCCCTGCCTGCCTCTGCAGGGCTCACAGCCACTTCCGGCAAATGGCTGGGGACGTAGAGGCTTCCTGAGGACTCAGGCTCAAGTTCAATGGGGGAGAGGATGAGAAAGACCAACTATCAGGAAACTAGAAACTTCCACTGTCCCTAGGACCCCAGGCAGAAGGCAGGAACAGCGACACACAACGGCAGTTCCATACTGTAGGGTGCGAAGGCAAATAGATTGCCAGGTGGAAGCTAGCCTCAACTACACAGGGAGACCTTGCCTCAAGAACAAATAAGTGAATACATAAAATAAAAAGGAGGGCTCAGTGGGGGTGTAGCTCAGTTGGTAAAATGCTTGTCCCTCATGTGGGAAACCCTGGGGTCTACCCCCAGCACCTGTAAACAGGGCATGGACACACACACCTGTGATTCTAGCATGTTGGAGGTAGAGATAGGGGTTCAATATCATTATCATCAAGAAGTTCAATATCATCCTTACTGTGTGGTGAGTTCAAGGCCAGCCCAGGCTACATAAAACCCTGTCTCAAACAAACAACAAAAACAAAAACAAAACCTCAAACTCAAGGGCAGGCAAGATGGCTCTGCAATTAAGAGCACTTGCCGCTCTTGCCGAGAACTAGGGTTCAGTTTCTAACACCTACAGAGTAGTTTACAATCTTGTCTGTAACTCCAGTTCCAGGGCATCCAACTTCCTCTCCTGGCCTCCACTGGCCAGAAAAGAAAAAAAAAAAAAATCTCAGGAAGCAAGCTGGGTCCTTCTTACTCAGGAAAGTTCTGGATCACAGCCTGTGCTTACCAGGTGGCCAGCTCCTCAGCCTCACTTTGCTTTCTAGGTCCCAAGCATTGGGTCATCATTCCTGGAGCCCGACTGCCTATTCACAAGGCTGTAGGTACGTACCTACACCTGTGCATGTGGATGCATGGGCACGAGCGTGCACACACATACACAGAGGAGTATACACACATGCACACACACATAAACACACACAAGCACACATGCATACATACATACATATATATATGTGCACACACAGGAGCACACATGCATACACATGCACACACGTACACACATGTACACACACACTCATGCACACACACAGGAGTACACACATCTACACATGCACACACATGCACACATGTACACACACACTCATGCACACACACAAGAGTACACACATCTACACATGCACACACATGCACACACACGCACACACACGGACCTTAATGTCCACATTGTTGTGACTTTCACACGCATTTTTCACAGTCATCCCCTGCTCAGGGTCTCCAGCTCTCTTCCTCACTATGTGACAGGGCAGTGTCTTTAGACACCCCTCACCTCCAGGCCGTTTGTCTAATGACTGCACCACTGGGTCCTGTGATGTCCTTACTGTGAATACTCAGTAGAATAACTCACAGGATACACAGAAATGAGGGGAAAATTCTCATCTGCCTGTGGTCACACAGCCACAGGACTGGAACCCAACTCCACCAGTGGAATGGCAATGCCCCTGTCTCAGACAATCCTTGCTTCAGAGACGCCTCAGCCTTTGCTACCCTTATGGTCATGCCACCCAGGCCCTACCACAACACTCAGTCAAATTAAGTTTGCACAGGACCAAGACCACTTACAACATGAGGCACCCAAGGCGACCTTGTCAACTAACCAGCTTCAGAACTCCAGTGCTCAGGAGGAAAGAGACCCGTGGTCAGACAACACAGGCACTTACCGAAATAGGAGTAGCCTTAATTAAATAACACCCAATGGCAGACTTCCGTTAAGGCCCATCACACTCATCTCCCGGGGCTTTGCTTCCACTCATAGCTGAACCAGTATGGGAACAGGGGTGGAGCAGGCACAGTCGTCCCGGGAAAGAGCCACAACAAAAGGTTTGGGAGTCAGGACCCTGGAAGCAAGGATGTGAGTGGGACTCACCACACACCTGCTGTCTATTCATAGACTGGGGTGGGTGGGGTCAGGCTCAGGCTGTGGGGGTGAGGAAGAGCCGGTATCAACCCTTTCCCGGCCAGGGGTCTCCTTAACCCAGCTGAGGGGCTAGATTTCTTCCAGGAGAGAAGAGAAAATATGGTTGGGACCCAGAGCACAGGATCTGGGCTCTCTCCACACCCCCCACACAGCTGTTCAGAAACCATATCCGTGCCCTTTTAAGCACTAGCTAAAGGAAGACTCCCTGGTGCTATGCCGGTAGCTACCAGGCCTCAGGAACAAGCCTTCCTTCCAGGGCCAGACAAGACTGGGGGTGGGGGCGGCTGCAGTGCCTAGGGGTGACGGTGCCTCTAGTAGCACAAAGGGGTCCCATCTTCCCAGAAGAACAGAAACTGCCCAAGCCTGCAAGCAGCAGAGCCATTGAAAGTTATAATTAGACTCTGGGGTACTGGTTCTTCGTGGGCAGTGCACAGCACGCAGATCCGGAGCCCCTGGCCTCAAAATGAGGAGAGTCTGGGAGAGCAAGAAGCCACTCCTAGGCAGTCTAGAGAAGCCCTGCTCGGCCAGATGCCCCACTATGGAGATTAGGACATGGTGCCAGTCACTGCAGGTCAAAGTCCGACATGAGCACAGAGCTCTGAACTAATAATGGGCCTCCTCCCAAGTTGCCGCAGCCCCTGAATCTTTGACCCAGCAGAGGGAACTGACTCAGCCGGGGCCGCAGAGGCCGTAGTGGGTTTAACCGCGGCTGAGATGGGCTGCGAGAAGGTAGCTGGGTCTGGAAAGCAGGTCAGAAGCCTGGACCTGCCCACCAAACCCGCAAGGGAAAGTCCCCTTTCATCAGGGACAATTCAGAAGTATAAGGATGAAGAGGGTAGCTGGCCCGGGAACTAAGACCTCAGAATTTCAGAGCCTAGAAGGTTGTAGGGAAGGGACGCCAGAGCAGACAGGATAGTTGCAGGATGTGGTGCGAGATGGGGTGGATTAGAAGCCACCTTCCATCCTTGACTCAAACAGCTGTGGGTCTTTGGCGTCCAAAAGGTTAGTCACCCACGCCGCTTCTTTCAGCCCCGCAGCCTTTGAGAAGAAGCCAAGGCAGAGGTATTGGCTGCGGTTGCTACCCTGCAGGCTGGGGCCGGGGAAAGGAGCGCAAAGGACTCCGGACACTCCAGAGTCAGTTTCTGCCTAAACTTCTCTCAGGCCATCAGCGCCGGGAGAGAAAAGGTCTGGTGTTGGAGTCTCAAGAGGAGGAACTTTGGAGCACCCCTACCTACCCACACACCTCGGCCGCCAGTCACCCCGTTAGGATGCCCCACCCCCCACTGTAAGTCTTTGGAAGGCTCAGCCCCCGCCTCCCTCCCGAGCGCAGTCTCCGCGTCCTTCCTCTTCTTCCCCAGCCTACTCTACTCCAACCTTTCCAGCTTTACGAACCCCGAGGTTTCCAGCAAGGACGAGTGTCCCGGCCAAGGGACCCGGGAGAGCCGAGAGGGCCCAACTGGGGACCAAGAGGGTCTGAGAAGCGCGGAGAGCGCGGGTTGCCGAGGAAAGAGAGAAAGGAGTAGGACCTGGGCGAGCGCGGGCTGGCTCTGGTTCCCACTCTGAGGGTCCGTTTCAGTGGCTGGGATCACCGGCTTACCTCTTGGTAAGTTTCGTCGCCGGGGCTGAAGGTGCTGTCTACTCGCTGTAGACGCAGGCCGAAGTGCGGTACATTGTGCAGCCACACGACCCACCAGGGCGCGATGTACTCCACGCGCGCCGCCGGCATGGCTCACACAAGCTGCAGCGGTTCCACTGCCACTGCGGGCGCCGCTGCCACTGCCCGGCTCAGGACGCGATCCGACCCCGCCCCGCCTAGACCCCGCCCCATGTCCTGCCCTAGGCGAAGACACGCCCCAGCCAGCAAGAGGCTCTGCCCAGGTCCCGCCCCCACCTCGGGTCCTACCCCATCTCTCTCCTTTTGTACCTCTTCCTGGACACACCCACCGGTTCCAGAAACTGGGCTCAAAAGCGTGTACTGATCTGTGCTATCACATCAGAGTAGCGGCCCAGGTTTGAGGGTGCACGCCTTAGGATGGGAAGGCAGAAGGATCAGGAGTTCAAAGGTCATCCTCAGGTCTGTAGTGAGTTGGAGGCCAGCCTGGGATATGAGACTTGATCTTAAAAACAAACAAACAAACAAACAAAAACAGGCAGTGGTGGCACACGCCTTTAATCCCAGCACTTGGGAGGCAGAGGCAGGCGGATTTCTGAGTTCGAGGCCAGCCTGGTCTACAGAGTGAGTTCCAGGACAGCCAGGGCTACACAGAGAAACCTTATCTCGAAAAAAAAAGGAAGCAGGAGTGGGTGGGTGGGTAGGGGAGCACCCTCATAGATGCAGGGGGAGAGGGGATAGGATAGGGGGTTTCCGAAAGGGAGACCTGGAAAGGGGAAAACATTTGAAATGTAAATAAAGAAAATATCCAATTTTAAAAAAAGGGAAGGTTTTGAAAAAAGACTAAAGTGCCAGTGGGTAATTAGTAATCTTGGCCTAGGGGGCGGGGCTAGTCCCTAATTCATTCATTCATTCTATTATTATTATTAATTTTCCCCAGACTGGATCTCACTATGTAATGCTGGCTGTCCTGGAACTCATTATGGAGCCCAGACTAGCCTTGAACTCACAGTGATCCACCTGCCTCTGCCTCCCTGCTCCACCACATCCAGCTTATTTGTTTATTGCAGTGTTAGGATTAGAACCCAAGGCCTTGAACATGCTAGGGCAAGGGCTCTATCACTGAGCCTCTTAAAGACAGAGTCTAAGACAGGAGTTGATGGTGAACGCTTTTAGTCTCAGTATTTGGAAGGTAGAAGCAGGCAAATCTCAGTGAATATGAGGGCAGCCTGGTCTACAGAATGAGTTCCAGAACAGCCAGAACTAAACAGAGAAACCTTGTCTTGAACAATCCACATAGGGCGGAGGAGACAGATACTAAGCTGTCTAGATGGGCCTTGAAGCCAGGATTATCCTGTCTTAGTCTTCTGAGGGTTGGAATTATGGGCATATGAGATCAGGAATGACAAGATTCACTCTAGATCACTTATTCTAGAATCTACTGTATAAATCCTGTGCACTCAGGGAAGCTTTTGAGCTCCTAGAGGGGAGGGGTGGACAGAAAGCACAGGAAGGGAGGACTACCTACTGTGCGGCAGAGCAGACAAAAGCCCCGAGGCCTTGTTGACTGCACTTTGTGACTATGGTTGGCAGTACACATGTAAAGTCATCATGTGGTAGGTTAGAGGGTGTTTTAGCGGAAAGTAAAACATGGTGCGCCCACCAGGAGCCATCACTTCAGCAGACCCCTGCAGGTCTTGGCCTTCAGCCCTCTGTATACTCCAGAACCCAGCCTATCACTTCTCTGCCTTTTAGTTACAATCAAGGGCAGAGCCCCCAGCCCAAGCACTGGGAGCACAGGGTCTTCAGCAGGAGGTAGGTGGTGGGCAGGCTAAGTGCCAGTGGACACGTTAGGTGGCAAAGGTCAGAGTCAGTCTTGGCTGGGAACAGCGCTGGGGATCCAGCTGGAGGATTCTTGGCGCTGTGGCAGAGGAAGGAAAGGAGACCCTAGAGAGGGCAGGGAGAATTTTTAACTAGGTGGGGCCCCCAAAACATGCACTCTTGCTCTATCAAGGAACCTTGCTACAAGCGCGTCCCTCCCTGCCCTGCCTGGCCACTGGGGCTTCCCCTCACCCTTACAGCCAGCTCTGTCCTGCAGTTGCTAGAGCCTGCTGCTACCATATCTGTACTGACAGCTGAGGCTCAAGGGGCCCCCCACCCCGTTCTCACCACAGATGTCTCACTAGCTCAGCATTGTCTGGGAATCCTATCATAGGACACCTAGTGATGAGTTTCCTGTCTTTACAGTTGTTTAGTAGAGAGGGCAGGTTCTAAACCTTGCTGATTATAAATACGTCCAGTGTTTCAGTCCTGTATTGGCACAAGAAGGGAGGGTACTTTGGGGATGCCTTCACATGGAAGAGTTATGCTGATGTCTCCAGAGGAATCTCGTGGGATCAGGGACTCATGGACAGGGAAGAAAGGGAACCCAGTCAGGAAACCCCAAGAGCTATAAGGTAAGGGCCAGGCAGAGCTGTGGCTGCTTCCCAGTGGCCTGGGTTGGGAGGGGGCTTTGAGTTAATGGAAACGTTCTGTGGATTTGAATAGCCCTTCCACAACTAAGATTTATACGCCTATGCTCGGGATGAGTCTTTTCTAGTAAGACAGGGTTTTGCCAGACAGTCCTGGTTTCCTGGCACTATGTAGCCCAGGCTGGCCCGGAGCTTGTGAGGGAAGTGAGGCCAGATGAGGCACAGGGCAGACTTATGTGTCCTCAGCCTTAGGGCCTCGGATGTAGACCCTGTAGCCGAGCAGGGAAATACGAAGCAAATTTCCAGGGACATCTTTCCAACTCCAGTAACAGCCAAAAGATCCAGCCCTAGACCCCTGTGAGGTGCCGCCTGGTGTCCTGCACACCCGCTCTCAGTGGCCCCAAGGATGCTTCTGCTCACATTTGTGTTGCTTTTGAACCTGGTGGGGCGCCAAAGGGAGTACATGTCCACTCTGAGGGCGAACTCAGTGCCAGGGCATTCTGGCTGTTCTTGGTGTTCTGACGCAGAGGTGAGGGGAAGCCAACCAATGTCCACTGTGGCAGAGCTTAACGCTCCCCACAGTTAACGCTAGCTGAGCCCCGGCAGTGGTAAGGCCTGTCATCTTAGGCACAAAGACATTATTCAGTCTCTAGACCCTGCCTGGACCGCAGAAGCACACCATAAGTGACTCAGGCTTGCCAGGGTAGAGGCACTGTATGAAAAAGTGCCTTCGGTGGACCACAAGGCAAACTGTCAGTTTCCTAGGAGCCAGGGTGAGCCTTTGAGAAATGTAGTGGGGACAAAAAAAGGCCAAAGCTGCAAACGGCCTTCCTTGGGAATCCTAGGCAACCATGCTCCCATCCCGCCCACTCCTGGGGTAAACAAAACCCATGTGTCCCAAAAAGCTCACAGCATATGCAAAAATGACCTCTTCCAGCAAGCAGATCTCTTTGCTTCTGGTTACAACCTGCTTGTTTAAGCATTTAACATAACCCTCAGCCTGTTGTACTATGTTTACTTGAAGGAACTTCCAGTTGTAGCACATTAAATTTGGCTCTGCATACTTGTGGTCCCAGCACTCAGGAGGTGGAGGCAGAATGGGATTCTATCTCAAAAACCAAGCCCCTCCTCAATTATGGGGCTTATTTACTATAGTAGAGTGCCACCTGGTGGCAGGCCCAGTGGCTTTGACTTTGCCTGCCCTTTTTTTTTAATTCTTGAAAATTATTTCATGTTGTTTGCTTGCACACATGCATACCATGTACGATGCAGTGCCCAGAGGCATCAGACCCCCAGCCCTGCCCACCCCCAGAAGTCCATGGTAAGCCAACCCCACAGAAAGCATCCTTCTGCATTCACCTCAGAAGCCCATACTTTCTTTCACGTTCCCAAGTCTTACGGCATGAACACTTCTTTCTCTTGCATCCAGGGGGATCCAAGGGCAGAGGACCAAGGATGAATACAAGGCTCATCCTGCAGCCTAGAAGCTGCCCCTTTCACCTTTGTCTCAGAAGGCAACCCACCCCAAGGCTCACTTCCAAGCCTTTGGAATACACACCAGCTTCCCTCCACAAAGAGCAGGCTCTTCCAGCTGCCTTTCCAGAGTATTAATATTTTCCCAAACTTAGGCTGACACCCCACTGCAGGATCTGGAATGCAGAAGGTAGCAGCATCTCAACACCAATACCACTTCCTGTCAAAGACTGAGGACACACAAAGGCTTTTCAGGGTTTTTAATAGTCATATGCAGAGGTCTGGTTCATTTCAGCTCCTTCACTGCCAAACCTGGGGAAAGAGAGATCGATGGTTGCCACGATTTCCTTCACAGCTACCCTGCTGCACTTCATGCCCCCACCCCACCCCAAACTCAAGATTATCAGAGTAGGTTCTTTTGAGAATTAAATGGACTATAATCCGCCAGGGACCAAAGAAACCATCTCTGGGATCAGTCAGAACCTGACAATCACAGCCATGGCAAACACGTCACTGTGCCCTCAAGGTGGCTCTCCTAATGCTGCCCACCCCACTGCTGTCTCAGGCTTACTTACCTGGGGGCAGGGACTGCTTCAGCTTCTCGGCCTTCTCCTTGTCTGTGATGACCAGGGTGTACAGGTACCTGCTGCAACGGACCTTGAACTTCACGTTATCCTTGTTCTTCTTGATCTTGACGGCTGCCACGGAAACCACAGTTAAGGATGAGACCAGTGCAGAGCCACACGGGTCATGTGTCTTATACTCTTAAGTGGCTGACATTTTCAGTTGTCACCACCTCAGACTTCCTCTGCTTTCAAATACTGAATGTGCTGGAAAGCTACATTTTTCTTATTGTACTCAATGAGTCTTTGGCTTACTAAATTAATTTGCACACGCACACAAAATCTCCACTTAGTACACTAAACACAGCACCACAGAACATTCTAGAATGACTCATGATAACCTTTAAAGGGACAGCCTATAAAAGAAGGAATTTAGTTATCTGCTCAGATAATCACTTTCCAGCCCTTCACTTCTGGCAACCAGTTCTCCACACACTAGGACACTGGACGCACAGAGCTCCTCTCAGGAGGCTCCATTCCAGTGTGCAGGGAAGCTCCTCCTACATTTGTGTGGAACTTGGTTCTTATTATTTTTTAATTTTGTGTAACCTCCTGCCTGTGTATGGGCACAGGAACGTGAGCGCAGACGCCTGGAGTCCAGAAGAGGCCATCACTGCTATAGGCAGATCTGAGAGCCGAAGGATGCTGGGAACCACACCACACTAGCATTAGCTCCACTCATGGCTGTAAAGCAGCAGAGGGCCTAAGGCTTCAGACTCAAGCACCTAACTGGAGACACACACTCAGCCTTAACCCCACAGAACAGCCCAACATCAGTGTGCACATGTACTCCCAGCCCCACCTCTGCTAGTGACTACTGCTCGGACAGGGCACTTCCCAGGAAGCACCAGGGCTCAGAGCCTGCTCAAGGCACTGGCCACTCTGGCTTCTATCTTACCAAGTCCAGACATGGACAGCAGCGTCCCATGCTGCTCCAGCAGCTACTGCACTCCTGAACATTATTCTCTGGAGGTAAGAGGTCTGAGACAGGGTCTCATGTACTCAGTCTCAGGTCCTGAACTCAACTGTGTGGCAGAGGATCTCAAACTCTCCTGATCCTTCTACCTCCAACCAAGAGCCCTGGGATTAAAGTGGTGCTCTACCATGCCCAGCTAGGTCAGTGCTGGCAAATGACCCTGGAGCCTTAGGAGTACTAGGTGGGAGCTCTCGTACGCCCGGCCCCCAGCATTAGCCAAGTACAGCCATACACGATGTGATACAGCAATTCCACTTCTGGGTAAATACCCAATATGAATAAAATCCTGAGCTAGGCTGACAGAAAACGTGCAAGCCTGTTTCCACCAACTCAATGTGGTGCCCTCACACAGTAGAACCGCTGACGGGGCATCCTGACACATCTGTAACACCAGCACTTGGGAGACGTAGGCAGTTAAAGGTCAAGGAGAGGGCTGGAGAGATGGCTCAGTGGTTAAGAGCACTGACTGCTCTTCCAGAGGTCCTGAGTTCAAGTCCCAGCAACCACATGATGGCTCACAACCATCTTTGATGGGATCTGATGCCCTCTTCTTGTGTGTCTGAAGAGAGCAATGGTGAATACATAAAATAAATAAATAAATCTTTAAAAAAAAAAAAAGGTCAAGGAGAAGCCAATGTGATACTTGAGTTGGTAAAGACACCTCCTGCCAAACCCAATGACCCAAGTTTGGATCCTAAGACCTGCCCCATAGGAGAACCAACTCCCTCAAGATGCTCTCTGACCTCTGCATGTGCACACACACTAAACAAAAACACAAGGAAGAAAACAAGCCAGAAATGGTGGCATAGGTCTGCCATCCGAACACTTGGGATCCTGAGAGTAGACTCCCTGAGCTCTGGATCTGAGGTCAGCCCGGGCTACAACGTGAGGGCCCAGGTTACTTGGGATCCATATAGCCGACTGTTCCTAAAAGCTAACAAAATCCACCAGAAATCGGGTTCAAAGGCATTTCTCCCGATAAATACACTTGACTTACTTTCTTAACTAGTTAAGGAACTGATGGATATGCTAAGCTGGCCTCACCAATCTGGAGGTGCAGCCTCTGGTTCCACAGTCTCTGAAGTAAACAGGAGGAAAGAACTGTGGCCTGTGTGTGACAGAGCTGGGACAGGGGAAGGCAGTGCCAAATGTTACAGCCCGGATGGAAAACACAAGCAACCCCCACCGAGCCCACCAGCGGGAGACATCCTCCGCTGGCCCACAGACCACCAGATCAGAGGCAACAGCTCGTCTGACGTGACGGGGCACACCTAAGGTCTCTGTGGTTCTTCCTGTCAACCTAACTGGACAGCCCAACTAGGCCTACTTCCGCTCATTATCTGGTGCTCATAGAGAGACTGATCTGAGAGGAAAAGGAAGGCACACAGGGCTATCTCACACAGCAGAAAAATAAGACTTCTTTTTTTGCTGCCATGTGAGATAACGTCACCCAAGGTCTCTCAGTAGACACATCCTCCCAGAACAATACAGAACCAGCAGGAGTAGACAAACAACTTTGAACCTGCTTGTTTTTACCTATTTTTGAGACAGTGTAGCCAAGGAGAACCTTGCATTTCCCCATCCCTTTGTCTCTACCTCCCGAGTTCAGGGATTACCCCGTGCACTAGGTCTGGCTCTGGGTTCCAGCTCACGCAGAGCAGGAACGAACCCCGCGCGTCAAGAAGCGTCTTGTTATGCAGGCCAAGCAAGGATGGTGTTGGATGCTCACAGTCGTATCGCCTCAGCCTAAGGTTAAGCAGGCAAGGGCCAGCATGCTGGCTCCGCTTTTATTTGGAAGCTGGAAACTACAGGTAAATGACACTTTTTTTTTTCCTTTTTAAAATTTAAGACAGGGTCTCACTATGCAGCCCTGGAGGGCTTCTAACTCACGGGGATCCTCCGGTCTCTACCACGTCAGGGCCAGCAGGGTTCTTAATGATCGCGCGTTGTGATCTGGTGTGCACAACTGGCAACCTTAGTGTTTGTGACACACCAGATGGCCAAGCTTTCAAGAGATCCAGTTCTGTCCCCCACCAGACAGAATCTGCTTTTCCGAGCCGCCCAAAACCTCCCTCCGTCCGCCCCACGGGCTCGTCCCGAGCCTTCTGGAAACCCACACTCACATTTGGCGTCCTTCCGTCGGGCCGTGAGCAGAAAGTCCTTGATTTCCTCAATTTTCCGAGGCTGCGACACAGGAGAAACAAGAGAATGAGCTCGGGGGACACATGCGTCCTGGGGACGCTCAAGCCCGCCCCGGGCCCCAGTCCCGGACTCACCATGGCGACGGGCGTTCGGCTCTGGCGTCCTCACCTGCGGGAAACAATCCTGAGTGAACCGGCCGCGATCCTGCTTCCCCGATCCGCCCCGCCGCACCCCTTCCTCCTCCCTCACACGCTCCCTGCAGACCCGTGCTCCCCAAACCCACCCCGGCTGCGGATTACCTCGGATTCCCCACCTGCCCAAAAAAAACTCACAGGGGAGAGAACGGAAGAGAACGGAAAAAGAACGAGACTTTCGCTTCCGGTCAGTTAAACCGCCCTAGAGAGGAAATTGCGTACGGTGTCTGCCGTGGGCCAAAAGGCATTTATGCGTTCAAAATTTCAATTTCAGCAGCCCTGCCCTCTTCTGGTTCAGATTAGTAGTGCAGCTTCTTAAAGTAACGCACAGGGGGCCAGCATCACCCCTCGCCTCCCTTCTTACCCTCTATTATGCCCCTATTTATCCCCTCTTTTTGTCACTCATCTTATTAATTTGTTTACATTTTATTTTTATTTCGTGTGCATTTAGTTTGCGTGTATCTCTGTGCATCACATGTATGCAGTGCCCATGGAAGCCGGAAGAGGGCATCAGATCCCGGGGAACTGGAAGGCGTTCTGGAGGAGCATCCAGGGCTCTTAGGATTGCCTCCAGGTCCAGTGATTGGCTTTTTTTTTTTTTCCCCTTTTTTCTTTCGAGACAGGGTTGGATCATACCCTCTTCATGCTTATAACAGGCCCAAAAGAAATGAAGATATTCCAAAGAGACATTCGTGTGCCTCGCTTTGTGTGCAGGGCAGAACTTCTGCAACCACCTGGGTAATCAGAAGTGGCTCCTTTATTCCATCTTGAGACCCATTATGCAGGTCAAGAATTGAGCCTCCCCTAGCCAGATTCCTCAGCCCAGCTCCCACCACACATCGCTTCTTTAGACAAGTAAGAAAGTGACAGCTTTGGGAAGACAGCGTCGGCTCCGTTTGCCCACTGCCTTCCCGCCCGGCTCTAACTTCCTTAGCACCTTGTTAGTCTTTATGATAATGCCTTGAAGGTTAGGCTCCGGTAAACTTTAGCTAGTGATTTTATTTTTACCTACCTTTATTTTATTTCAACCGCCCTACAAATGTCTCCATTTTATTATGTTTCTCTCCCCCCAATTTAATAACTCACAACAGAATGTAATTGCCTTGTACTTATTACTGTGGAGTGGACCCCCGAGGAGGATGAGCGCTTGGCCATGAGGTTTTGAAACTCATCTCTCGCTCTCTCCTCCCCACTCCCTTTGGATGAAGGAATCTTCGCGGAGCCCCTGCCTCCCGGTGATACAGGGCAGAAAAACTAATTTGCGGGAGTCGTTTTCAAGAACACAGCAGCGCTTCGGCGGCTGAAAACTTGTCTGCTGGTGACTGTTGGGTTTCAGACCCCAGAACAAGCAGCTGAGGTGCATATTTTACATACCAAAGCAGATCTGGCCTCCAGCTTTTCCCAGCACCCCTCAGTCCCTACCTGGAAGACCCATTTCCCAACCCTAAACTTTTAGGCCCATGGGCTGGGTTGTCCACACTGTTGTGTTTTATAAAAGTAAAGAGAGAAGGGATATGTTTTGGTGGAGGTGAGGTAAGGTGTGGAGGAAGGGGATGCCTCGGCGGGCCCGTGCTGAGGCATCCCTTCCCTCTGAGGGACCAGCCACATGGCAGTATAGTATAGAATAGAGTTTATTCAGGGCATGGGAACGGGAGATGAGAGGGTAGTAGAGACAGAGAAAGGGGGGGAGGAGGAGAGAGGAGGTCCGCCATGAGCACATGGGGTGGGTGTGGGGAATGGGGGGAGAGAGGGTAAGGGACAAGAGGACAGAACAGGAGCAAGAAGGAGGGAGGAGGAGGGAGGAGGGTGGAGGAGGAGGAGGAGGAGGAGGAGGAGGAGGAGGAGGAGGAGGAGGAGAAAAGCAGCCCTTTTATAGTGAGTCAGGCAAACTTGGCTGTTGCCAGGTAACTTTGGGGCGGAGCCTAGACAAAATGCTAACACACAACCCACCCCCACCCACCAGACATTTTGGTCTCTCCCTATCTGTCTCTGCTTCTCCTTCTCTCCCCCTTCCCCTCTCTCTCTCTCTCTCTCTCTCTCTCTCTCAATCTCTCTCTCTCTCTCTCTCTCTCTCTCTCTCTCTCTCTCTCTCCCTCCCTCCCTCCCTCCCTCCCTCCCTCCATATCTCTTTCTCTTCCCCATCTCCTTTGTCCCTGTCCCCACTGCGACATCTCCGGCCTCATTCCTTGGGACCAGCCCAAGAGCAGTTTCCCAATAAGCCTTTTTGACCCGGGACATTCCCATAAGTCCCTGCTCGACTTTGCTGCCTGCCTTCTCTCCAGGGCAAATGCGTTTCCGGTCTTTTTTGCCCCCTGTCTCCTCAAGTAAATGCCCTTTTGGCCAAACCGAGAGCTCCTTAACTTGCTAGTGCTTCCGGTCTGCAGGGACTCCTTTGCTGTCCCCCCAGGTATTACAGTGTCCCTTCATAGCCCCTTCCATCTTCTACTTGGGGGCAGACGTTCAGTTTCGATGCCCCTCCCATGTCCCCTCCCATAAACCATCCTTTGATGCGGCGGGAGGGGGTGCTTTAGCGGGCCCAGAATAAAAGGAAGTTTTATTTGGGACCTGGAAAGGGGGTCTGGAGGAGTGGAGGCAGAGAAAGGGGACAGAGAAGGACACAAAAAGAGAGGAGAGAAAGTATGGCAGAGGCAGACTGGCCGGGAAGATGGAGAGAGTGAGAGAAGATGGAGGGGAGGGAGGGGGAAAGCCCAGAGCACCCTTATATGCCTGGCTCCTGGCTAAGGAATTGTTGGGCGGAGCCTAGAGGAAAGGCTAACACCCTCTGTATAGGCTGTGAGGCAATGGTGGGGATAAATTCTGTTTTAAAAAGAGAGGGTCTCCTTGTGTTGAACTAGGTATCCTGGGACTAAGTAGACCATGTTGGCCTTGAACTCACAAAGATCTTATGACTCTACCTCCCAAGTGCTAGGATTAAAGGTGGGAGCCACCACGCTTGGCTGTTTTGTTTGTTTGTTTGTTTGTTTGTTGGGGGGGGTTGGACAGGATATCTTGTAGTCCAGACTGGCCTCCCTGTGTAGCAGAGGGTGACCTCCTTGAGCTTCCAAACCTCCTGTCACTACTTCCTGAGTGCTGGCATTACAGATGTGAGCCACCATGCCTGGTCCCAGGATTTCTGCATGCTGGGCAAGCACTCTACCAGCTGAGCTGTACCCTCTGTCCCTGGCAGGGCTAAACTCTTCATGTGTTTGTACTGACTTCGTTTGAGGGCAAGGACAAGGTAGAACTTTCTGTAGGCAGCTCTTGGATATGATACTCAAGTATACAGTGGGCGTTTAATGCTTGGGGGACTCTCAAGCTGGATGTGACCTTTGAAAGCACTCATTAAAAGAAGGGGCAGGAAGAGGAAGAGACGGAGGGAATAAGGAAAAACAGAAAGGGGGAGCTAAAAGTAGAAAGATTCAGGTTAGGTACTCCAGGCAGCCCCTGGCACATAGTAGGTGCACAAAATATGTGTGTACGTGAGTAACTGGTGCCTCTGCTCCCTACTGCTGCACCAGTCAGGTGATGGGTAAGAAGATGAACTGCATCTCCCACTGGCAGCCGTGCTGGGGAGACAGATGTTGGCCCACTTGAGTTGCGTGATTTAAGAGAGCGTAGATACAGAGCAAAGCCACGAAGACACATTTGTTCAAGGACCAAGGTCTTCTCCAGCTCCCCAAGGGGAACAGATAACAACAAATAACAAAATGCACTGCAGGGCAAAGCGTGGTGTGCAGAAGGAGGGTGTCTCAGCCTCCCATGGCAGAGCCTCAGACAAGAAGCTGGGACTGGTCCCTCATGCAAGGTCTGTACTGTAGCTTCCCTGGGAGCCTTAAACATGCACATGATAGGAGCTGCTAAAGGGGGGAATCCTGCAGAGAGGAGGGCTCTTCTCTGGCCAGAATGGGGTCAGCATTACCTGTCAGGGCTACTGTGTCTGTTAGGCCAGGAGGGTGGACTAGACCATCCCAGGTGGGTGAGAGCTGAGGTGCCACAGAGACAGGAGACACTGGTCCTGGAGGGGGCTGGTAAACAGGGCTGACGGAGACTGGAGCTGGGCTTAAGTCGAGTCTAGGGACTATCTTTTGGTCTTCCATCTTTCTTGCTTTCTACCATCTACCCGCTGGCCTTGGGGCTGGCCCTGGCAGGGTCTGCTGCAGGGCAAATAGGGACAGAGAGGTACCCCTCTCCTTTCCCTTCCCCTCCAATGGGAACCCCGAAGGCACATCCATGTGGATTTCTCTCTTCAGTGTTCAGAGGCACCAGAATGGGGCAGAGACCTGGTACCCTACTCAAGGGTGGGCAGAGAGGTAGTGTCAGATACAGTGTGCTCTAAAGGAGCTGAGAAGACGACAGCCTGGCATCTGGCTCAGATAAATGGTTGATGGACGGACCTGCAATGGGAAGGACAGGAAAATAGTTAGCCTAGGGTCAGGAGAACCTGGGGTTCTCTGGGAATGTCGGAAAGTTCTGTGGGATCAAGACAGAATTGATTCTTCTGATTCCCGCTCATGCTAGAGTAATCTCTTGAGCTCTGAATTTCTGTGTCTAAGACTGTTTTTTGGGGGGGAGGGGCAGGGAGGGGACAGATAGGATGGGAGGCAGGTCACCAGCCATCCTGGCTTCCTCTTTGGCTGGCTGGGCTGTGGGTGCAGTGTCCACTTGTGACCACACGGGGGTGCTGAGCCTGAGACTGGGGACTCAACGGCAAGAAACCAGCCTTCTGGCTTAAACCCCAAATCTCAGGCTTATAAATTGTGAATGCGATTGGTGTAGTATTTCATACCTCGAGGAGTGCTTTCTTAGTTCTGTCGCACTTAGTCTCCAGGAAGCCCCCAAGAGGCCCATGCCTTCCGCTGCCAGCTATGCTGGCCTTTAAACCTGTCCTGTGGGAGCTGTCCATAAACCTCCCAGATGCTCAGCACGAGGAGAGCCTGGGGTTCTCCATGAATTTGGCTACCTGGAAGAGTGGATAGGGAAGGGGAGGAGGACGAGAGAGGAGTTGTGTCTTTTTGGAATCTAAGATGGGACATTTAGATGGGGTGCTGGGTACCCCCTCTTTCCAGCCCCCACAGAATCTTCAAGACTCACAGATGGTCATGAGAAGCAGACACACAACCAGCTGTTGAGCCAAGTGCCTCAAAGCATGGCAGTGATGCCTGTTGAAATCACCATCATCATC